GTGAAAATAAAGATGTAATTTTGTTTTCCCTGCAAGCTCACGGACCCTAGGTTGCGTGACCCTTGGTTGAAGGCATGGTGAGGAACCCTGTTTCCCTGAACGCCGGGTTTGCAGGAGCTGGGGTGCTAGGAGCAGCAATACCCCACGCAGAGAAGCCCCTCCCCTCGGGGCTTACGCTCTGTGGGGAGGGGGGGGGACAAGGACACAACACAGGAGTTGGGTAAGTCAAACCTGTGCTTGCTTAAACAGTGCAAGTGCCAAGCAGAAAACTAACATGGAAGGGCGGGGAGGGTGTGCGGCTGAGGGCTGGGGTGAGGGTGTTAATTTTAGGCAGGGGAAGGGGACAGAGGAAGACATGAGTTGGGGAGCACAGCAGATGCTTTTGCAGAGGAGAGTTCCAGAGAGAGGGAACAGCAGAGACACAGCGTCAGGCGGGCGCTTCCCCGGGGCACAGGCAAGCCACCTGGGCGGGAGGAGAGGGCAGGGCAGTGGGTCCTCGTGTCTGGTTGAAGGTCCTCGAAGGTGTGTGCCTTTCCTGTTAAAGGACCCTCTGGCTGCCGTGCTGAGCCAGGTAGAGGTCCAGGGCGGGGCAGGAGCGAGGGGGAGCCGCCACCCACTGGGGAGCGCTGACGTGGCTCAGAGCAAGGTGACGGGTGGGGTCCACCGAGACCCAAGATCCAACTTAACGGGATGGCTGGTTTTAAAGAAATTTAAGAAAAGAACTAGTATGTTCGAAACAGTAAGACTGAGTATTCTGGAATGTTGGGGAAGTAATTAAAAGGTTTTTAAAAGCCATCTTGAAGAATTTTTTTTCCCCTCCAGGAGGAATTTAACTTCGGGAGCAGCCTTGGAGGGGAAGCCGTGCGAGTGAGAGTTCCACAGGAGACCGCGGCAGCCGTGGAAGGGGCCGGGCCAGGGCTGGGCAGGCCCTCGCGGGGAGCCTGGACTGACATCAGGGTCACCCCAGGCAGGAGGCGGGGGCTCCTGCCTGGTCTTCACTTCAGTGGCCTGGAGCTAGAAGCCAGGTGGGGCCTGTGAGACCACCTTACCCTTCCAGGCTGTGCGGACGCCAAGCAGCCCCTCCTGGGGAGCAGACAGAGGGAGGGCCCTGGCCCAGCTCGGGGCAAAGACGTAGCGGCGCCCCGGATAGCACGTGCCCGAGAGACGCCCCAGTCCTAGCAGGGCTCTCCAGGAAGTGTGGTTTCCCCAGACCCTAGGAGTAAATCTTCGTGAAAAATGACATTCCTTTTTAATATGCTCTGCAACAGGATGTTTTTATTTCTGATAACAGCTTTACTGAGAAATAGTTCACGTCATACAATTCACCCGTTTAAAGTGTACAAGTCAATGGTTTTTAATATATTCATTCCTATGCGCAACTGTTACCACAGTCAATTTTAGATCATTTTTTATCACCTCAAAAAGAAACCCCTACCATTTAGTCATCGCCCCGTCTCTCCCCACCCTGTCCCCTAACCCTAAGCAACTACTGGTCTAAACTGTAGTCACCCTACTCGTCTATCAAACCCTAAGTCTTACTTCTTCTCTCAGACCATGTATTTGTACCCATTAATCGATTTCTCTTCATCCTCCCCTCCCCCTTCCTGGCCTCTGATAACCACCAGTTTCTCTCTCCGTGAGATTCCCTGTTCTGGCTCCCACGCCTGCCTGAGAACACGCAGTGTTTGCCTTTCTGTGCTGGGCTGCTTTCACTTGGCATGGTGACCTCCATTTCCACCCATGTTGCTGTAAGTGCGGGATTTCATTCTTTTTTATGGTTGAATCATAGTCCATCATGTGTATACACCACATTCTCTTTATCCATCCATCCACTGATGGGCCTTTAGGTTTATCCCGTGTTTCCGGTGTTGTGAACAGTGCTGTGACAATCATGGAGTGCAGGGATCTCTTCCACATGTTGATTTCCTTTCTTTGGGATAATTACCTAGTTGTGGAATTGCTGGATTACATGGTAGTTGTACTTTTAGTTGTTTGAGGACTGTACTAATTTACATTCCCACCAACAGTGTGTGACGGTCCCCCTTTCTCCGTATCCTTGCCAGCGTCTCCTATTGATTGCCTTCTTGATAAAAACCGCTTTAACGGGGGTGAGATGATATCTCATTGTAGTTGTGATTTGCATTCTCTGATCACTAGTGATGTTGAGCATTTTTTTCATATACCTGTTGCCCATTTGTATGTCATCATCTGAGAAATATCTGGTTCAGATCTTTTGCCCATTTTTAATTACATTATTTGGTTTTTTACTATTGAGTTGTTTGAGCTCCTTATATATTCTGGTTATTAATTCTTTGTCAGATGGGTAGTTTGCAAATATTTCCTCCCATCCTGTGGGTTGTCTCTTCACTTTTTTTATTGTTTCCTGTGCTATGCAGAAGCTGCTTAGCTTGATGTGATCCCATGTGTCCAATTTTGCTTTGGTTATCTTTGCTATTGAGGTCTTACCCAAGAAATCTTTGCCCAGACCAATGCCCTGGAGTGTTTCCCCAATGTTTTCTTCTAGTAGTTTCAAGGTTTCAGGTCTTAGATTTAAGTCTTTAATCCATTTTGATTTAATTATTTTGTGTATGGTAAGAGATAGGGGTCTAGTTTCATTCTTCTACATACGGTTATCCAGTTTTCCCAGCACCATTTATTAAAGAGACTGTCCTTTCCCCATTGTATGTTCTTGGCAGCCCTGTCAAAGATGAGTTGGCTGTAAATGCTTAGATTTATATCTGGGTACTCTACTCTTTTACATCGGTCTATGTGTCTGTTTGTATGCCAGTACCATGCTGATTTGATTACTCTGGCTTTGTAGTAAATTTTGAAGTCAGGAAGTGTGATGCCTCCAGCTATTATCTGACTTTTTGATTATAGGCATCCTACTAGATGCTATCTCATTGTAATTTGGACTTACATTTACCTCATAATTAATGATGAGCATCTTTTCATGTGTTAATTGTAAATTTGTATATCTTTGGAGAAATGTCTATTCAGATCATTTGCCCATTTTTAAATTGAGTTATTTGTCTTCATTATTGATTTGTAAGAGTTCATGATATATTCTGGATACAAGTCCCTTATCGGATATATTTAATATAATTTGCAAATACTTTCTCCCATTCTTGGGTTGTCTTTTCACTTTGATAGTGTCTTTTGAAGCATAGGCGTTTTTAGTTTTGATGAAGTCAATTTATCTTTTTTCTTTTGTGGCTCATGTTTTTGATATCACATCTAAAACTTGTGTCGCATCCATTGTGCCAAACAGTTGCTAAATTCCTGTCACAGCCATTGTCAAGTCTGAAGTCAAGAAGAGCATTCTCTTTTCTTCTAAGAGTTTTATAGTTGAGTTTTTACATTTAGGTCTTTGACCCATTTTGAGTTAACTTTTGTATATGGCATGAGGTTAAGAATCCAAGTTTGTTCTTTTTCTTGTGGCTGTCCAGTTGTTCCACACATTTCTTGAAGAGACCATTCTTTTCCTGTTGAGTGGTCTTGACACCCTTGTCAAAACTCAGTTGACCACAGACACACAAATTTATTTCTGGACTCTCAACTCTATTCCGTTGATCTGTCTCATGGCAGTACCATGAGGATGAGTGTTGCTTTGTAGTATTTTTTGAAATAAAAAAAGTGGAAATGTGATTCTGATAGGGATTGCACTGAATTTGAGTATTTTCATTGAACCAGTCTCCACACCTCTCCTCCACCCCACCAGTTTCCTGGTCTAGTCTCTGCTTTCTCACCACCACCTCGGCCCCAGTGCAAATCCCAGGTAGCCTTGTAGCACCAGCGCCCAGAAGACTGGCCGGCCTCCGTGTTCCAGGCCAATCGAGCTGGCTATGAGTTGGTCATTCCCTGCCTCGGCTGCCACAGCAGAAAGGCCGGGCGTGAGACAGTAGCACTGGCACAGTGTTCTCCCAGACCTCACCCTGCCTATTTGCAGAAAACTTGGAAAATATGGATAAAATATATAACCTTCTGCCTCCCAGATAAACCACCTGTTAATTTGGCTGTTATTCTGACTAGCATTTCTCCCACACATCTGTATCTATATATATATTAAATATTCTTTCTCGCCTTCTTTCTTCATAGAAATTTACAAATTGGAATTATGTTATGCATACAGTATTATATGCTTGCTTCACTCCATTTTATCTCATTTGGTGTTTGCCATTTTTTAATACTTGAAACCATAATCTCTGTGGCTTAATAGGATAGATAGTATTCCATTATATGCCTATATAATAATTTGATGACCAATTCCTATTTTTAGCCATTTGGGTTCTTTCCAATTTTTGAATAAATATTATCATAACGGCCAATCTTGTACTTAAAAGTCTTCTCTCATTTCTGATTATTTCCTTGAGATTGATTCTAAGCAGCAGGATTAGTGAGTCAAAGGATATAATATTTTTAAGTGTCTGGATATGATGTCAAGTTGATTTCCAAATTTCCAAGGGCTATCCCAATCTGCTCTTCCACCAACAACTGTAAGAATGCCAGTTTCTCCATCAGCAGTTCTGAGGATTAGCTCTTAAGAAAACTCTTTTCAAATTTAACTGGTGGAAAACAAAATTCATCTCCTTATTTTAATTTGGCATGCATTTTTAAGGGAGGTTGAATATAATTTGCTAAGCTTATTGATCATTTCTATTGTTCTCTTGTGAATCGACTGTAAATTCGCCTGTTTTTGTTCCTTAGGGTGCTCATCAAGTCTTACTGATTTGCAAAAGCTCATTGTCTGTTACAAATATAAGCCCTTTGTGGGTGCAGCGCGCTCTCCTCTCTCTGCTGGGGCTCCGTCCCCACGCCGGCCCTGGGTTCTGCCAACCCACAGTAGCAGCACTGTGCAGTGAAGCATTGGTCCCCTCTAGGCGGAAACGACTCAGTGTTGGCTCACGAGCCTTGCCCCGTGATGGCCCAGTGAGCTGCATGACGCCCGGTCGCTCGCAGCCTGCCAAAGCGCAGAGTTGGGAGAGGGCGTGGTGGGCTGGGCCAGCTTGGCGGGAGACACCCCTGTTCCCTTCTGACCCTTAGTTTCTTGTTCGGCCGACGCCTCTAACTTTCTTGTTACTTGTTCTGAGTCTGCCAGCAAAGGCCATTATCAATCACTTTTATTTTCCTCCTCTTTGTCCCATCCTGCCGCCCACCGTCCCCTTGCCAGCAGGAACAGAAGCTGACTCTCGCTGAGCCCTGTGGGTGCCCGCCGAGGGGCTGAGCCCTTGCAGCCCAGCCCCCACGCTGCCCTCCCAGCCCTGCACCATGTGACCAGCTCAGCGTGCACGCCCGTGGTCCCTGCCAGCACTGGAGATGCTGCGTGGCCTCGAGAGGCACCTGTGCACACAGGCATCGTGGCCCCTCCTACCGCCCCATGTGTGGACCACACGTTGACACGAGGAAGCCCATAGGAAGCTCGGGGAAGCGGCTCTGCAGAGGCCACCTCGTGGTTGCACAGGCCCTGGGAGACATGATCCTCTGCCCCCGGTGTTGGGAGCATGGACGTGTGGCATTGGGTATGTCCTGCAGCGAGGCCTCCTGAACCCCAGCTGACCTCCTGGACAGGCCAGTTCCCATCTATGGCCCGGCCAGTGGCCTTGGCAGAATTGGGCAGCCTGGTTGAGATCTTCCAGGGAAGTGTGACTTCTCCTTGCCTGCACCTACGTGGTGTGTGTGTCTCTCTCTCTCATCATTTCTCTCTCATCATTTCTCTCTCTCTCTCTCTCTCTGTCTGTCTCTGTCTCTCATCTTTCTCTCTCTCAATTCCTGAAGATATCTGAAACCCGAATTAGTGGAAAGAGCATGGGGATTAGAGATTGGAGACTTCATCTGGTGTCTGGTCTTTCCAGCCTCGTGACCCTAGGCTGTCATCTGACCTCCCTGGACGGAGGCTTCACCACCTAGGCGTGGCCCCGGTGCAGAGCTGCACGAGAGGCCCGGAGGAGACGCCGTGAGACACAGTGCTCCGTAGACCACAGGGGCTGCAAGGTGAGTGCTTGCTGTTTGAAAATTTGAGAATATTCTACTCACTTTAGAGAGTCTGTCATAAGAGACGGTCTCCGGGGAATCTTGGATCAGAAATTACGTCCATTTGCTCCTGAAGCAGTGCCTACCCTCGTCTTGTCCCTGGCCCCAATTCTGCCAGAGGGACACAACACCCTTCTAGACTCCCGCAGTCTCAGGCACTTGGTGAGGCCTTTGCTTCCTACTCTGGGGCCACTCAGCCATGACCAGGCGCCCCCCATACGGAGGGGGAAGGGGAGGAAGGCACCGGCGTGTGTCTCTTCAAGACACTCGGGTCTCTCCAGGGTCCCAGGAGGCCAGTGGGAAAGCTAGAGGCTGGTGGCCTCAGCCAGCCCCTGGGAAGACTTGCAGGGAGCCACGGGGTCCCCGCCCCGAAGTGGCCAGGGGCCAGGGAAGGCTTTGGGGAGGAGAACGCTGGGGCTTAGACTGATGGCTGAGTGGGAGTCAGCGAGGTTCTCTCTCTGCCCAGATCATGACGTCATGGCGTGTGGGGACCAGGTGCCTGCGGGGCTCTAGGTCGTCCTGCGTAGACGCTGGCCCTGGTGTGTGCAGACAGACCCAGCAGCCTGTGTGAGACACTCCAAACGGGCCGTGCTCCCTGGAGAGCGTGCGTCTGTGGGCCGGCACGGACCCTGAGAGCAGGCCTGGGAACCACCCTGCGCTTTGCGGAGGACGAGGTCCCCGGGCTTTACGCTGTGGCTGGACTCAGCCGACGGACACCTGCTCTTGCCGTAGGGGCTCCGTCGGCCGGGGGTGCGGTGGGGGCCGCGTCCACACTGTCTCCCCAGCCCCAGAACAGCAAGGCGCTCCCTGTGGAACCTGCGGCTCTACGTGGGGACATGACAAATGACCAAAAAATCAATTTGTAATCTGATTGGAGGTTTTTGATTTCCTCTGATGAGTTTAAATTTCATTAAAAGCAACCTTATTCCAACATAAAAGGAATCCTTGAAGGGTAAAACAGGGGATTGTCTCACCGAGTATAAAGCATCCCAACTCTTTTGTGTGATTTATTCATGGCATTAATTGGGAGGGCCAACCTGTGGTGTCCGTTGGCAGCTGCGCCCTTATCAGGGGCTGGGATCGGCCCGGCCAGCTCAAAGCACAAGGACTCACATTCAAACACCCCTCTTTGGCATATTGACACTTCAGTTATCAACAGCCCTTTTCATCTGCTGGGAGGGAGATCGCAGCTCTCGGGGCCAGAGCGAGCCACAAATCACCGCGCTGCCCCTGCATTCTCTTAATTGTATGTATTCTCTGGAAAAATGATCATTGTGGCCTCTTGTCTTGATGAGAAATTGACATTTCTGAGGACTTCTTTGGGCGCTGCAAGCCCGGGAGATAAGGCCCGGCGTTGTTTTAAAGGAGGGCAGCCTTTCTTCCCTTCCCGGGCCGCCCACTGCCCTCGTTGGCCCACTTGATGAGTATGGATTTCATGAGGTCTTTTTCAGCATTTGAACTATAAAAAGGTTCAGAACGACACCACCCCTTATAGACAAAAGATAACCTTGCCCTTTGAATATATTGATTCTTTATTAACTAGGCTGTTTAATGCAATGAAATGAGGCATTAGATTGAAGCCCATTTCAAGTGCTTTGAATAATCTTTAAAAGCTTTGAAAGACCTTAAAAGGCGGCCTGACCGGGAGTGGCACACACGCTGAAAGAACACAGCCCCTGCTTCGCATTGCAGGCGCAAACGGGGCACGACGTCCCTGTTCCCAGGTGACCGCCAGCTGGGCATTCCTGGCACCGGTTCCGAGTGGGAAGGGGGTGACTTGTGGGGCGACGCCCTCTCCGGCCCCAGCCTCCAGCAACCTGGGAGGGGCCGGGCAGCGGGCGGGCTGCAGGTTTGCAGCCACGAGCTCCTTCTGCTGTCTCTTTACAGCTGAAATAAGGACCTGATTGTCACTGGCAGGAGAAAAAGGTATTCACAAGTTTCTTTATGTTTTGAATAATTGTTTCCTGTTTTGCCGCCGCAGAACGAGTAATTAAGATGACATTTGTGAGTACTAATTTGGATCACACTTACACGTAAGTGTTAGGGAGCTGCAAGCCAAAACACGCAGACCCGGCCTTTCATTGAGGAGAAAATGAGAAGCGCCGGGTGGGAGGGAACGGGAGCCAGGGCCCCCACAGGAGCCGAGCGGCCTCGGCGTCAGAGCGCCCCGGTGCTGGCTCGTCATGGGCAGTGCAATCGGCTGCACTTAGGCACAGATGACAGTGGCCGGGGCAGGGCTTGGGGTCCGTTGTGCCAGTGAGGTGGATGGACGTGGAATGGTGTCCCTCACGTCCGACCTCAGCCAGCACTGGTCTGGGTGCCCCCCCGCCCACCTGCAGACGTTGCTGCTGCACGTCCCTGACCTGGTTCTCACCCAGGCGACACAACAGTGATACAAAAGGAGTGTGTTAGAGGGGGCCGGACCTGCCAAACCCTCCAGTTCAGGGGCAGGAAGGGCTGGGGGCAGCAGGGTCATAGAGCACCCCCCCCCATGAGACTTGGGGTTGTTTGCACACTCAGACACCAGTGTTTGAACCATGATTGTGCCACCCCAGCGTGGCTGTGGCCCCCGAATGTCTGAGACACAGAAACATCGTGCAGAGCACAACACATGTATGCGTGCAGAGCACAACACATGTATGCGTGCAGAGCACAACACATGTATAGACGGTGCCTCTGTGATCAGAACCATCCACGCAGTGACTTGGCGTGTTTCTGCCTGCAGGTGTGATGACTGCGGGCTGACACCTTCGTGGGAGGTTCCCCTACAGGTCATTTTCATATCGCCCCAGACACGGCTTCGGAACCCAGGATGTGCAAACGAACCCTCCCCCCACCGTGGAACTCTCTGGGTATGTTTAGCCAGCCGTTATTAATAATCAGAACAAAATTACCAAAGGTGAAATTCACAGACAAGAAATACTTTAATTAAATATTGTGTAAAATGAACATTTTATACAGTTAAATATCTGAAAAAATGTACAGATAAAACAATCTTATTGTAGGGTCTTTTAACAGTAAAATCTACCATTTAGTGAAGCGCTCAGTCTTGAGACAATGAAGCGATGAGGGTGTTGACTATTTTCATCTAAACACAAACCGAGTGAGTGAGGGCATGAGGAAGCTTGCAAACGTTAACACGTATGTGTGAGCTCTTTTTTAGATCAAACCCTTACTTATACAAAATAAAACGGAGGCAATTTAGTTCCAAAGTGACTTCTCAGGCTTTTCCACGTAGCGAAGCTTTGTCAGCCGTCACAAAGCCAGACTGGGACGCGCTGACCACTGGGGACGTTGTTTAGTCCCTTGAACGAACACTTCTAAGTTGTACATTGCTGTTGATTTTTGTCAAGAAAGTTTTTTTTTTAAAGCCCCTCCTTTTTATTTGAGATTTGATTTCTGCTGCAGTTTGCAAAATGTTGGCTGTGTCTGCAAAGCATTTAGTGCAAAGGGGAAACAAAACCTGACCCTGTTGGTCTCACTGTGGGTTTGGCACTAACAGGCACACTATCTGGAGGAGGCCATTCCAGTTTGAAAAGTACAGACAGTGCTGTTGGATCTGACCACAAAAAAAAAAAAAAAATTAAAAACCAGCAGTGACATTGGCTCCTTGTGAAACCTCTCCGGACTGGAGGGCTGCCTGGCAGGTGCAGAGAACAGCAGAAACGGACCCAGAAGGGAGCGGCGTGTGGAACGGTGGTGGGTTTGTGCTTTTGTGTGTGTGTGCGCACGCACGTGTGTGTTTCACACCACACATCTCCAAACGAAATGTATTGGTTAACAATTGTGGCGTAAGCCTGTGATAAAATAGCACAAAGGTTCTCTTTAAAGAAGTCCACTTTTAAGGCATCAGAGAAGTTAATGTGGCAAACATTTTAATTAAAACATCAGAAGTAAATTTTTATTTTAAACTTTTAGGCCTCTGAATTTTTCCAGTATAAACACCGTTCAGCTATGTGGCAAAGTCGTGGGTGGCAGCTAAAATGACTTTTTACATTCTACCAAAAAGTAAAATAAAATAAAGACACAGCCCCGGACGGTGTCACCTCTCCTTGGCCGCCCCACATGCACAGAGTCTACTAGGGTTTGTCACAGCCGGGTGACACCGTTGTGTTTTGACTATACAACAAACTTTTTTTTTTTCTCCAAAAGTATTTGTTCAGATAACTTAAAAATAATATAAAAATAAACAATGGATTTGACTTTTCCTCAAAATAATAATAAAAAAAAAAGGACGGAAAGTCTAAACAATAGCATATTTCTGAGTACAAATGAAATGTAAGGACACTGGTCCGTTTGAACGAAACAGATCAAAGAGACAGTTCTTGGCTAATGCTCTTCCCGGTATCACAACACCAGGCCACGATCAAAAACCAACACAGACGAGGAAAAGAAAAAGGTGGGAAAAGCAATGTACAAAATTTCAAAGATAAATACAATATTTATAATTGATATGTTACAAAATAAATCCCTTAGCAACTGCAAGTGTTCATGGGAAAGTAAGTGTGGCGTGAAGACCATTGTATCCCTTATAAGACACATAAGGAATAAAACTTTGTTTTTCTAAATATTTTAAAGTGGATCTGAAAAAAATTCAAGACAAGTGTATAAATATTTAGCTACAACTTTGGCAAAATCACAAAAGTCTACAATTTTATAACCACATACAAAACACATTAGGGAAGAAGGATCTAGAAGTCAAAAGGACAATTTCTGGTACAAGAAACATAGACCTCACAGTAGCCTAAGAATGCAATAGTATACAGTGCTAGCAAAAGTTGAAAAAATGTTGCAGATCACACTTGCTTAACAGGAAGCTCTAGCAGCGGGAGAATATTGGAACCAACAGACAGTAGCATTTTTTTTCTCTGTCAGTGTGCTTGTTGAAGGCAAGAGAATTCAATATCAAAGTTACAATTTCTAACTACAATAAGTTACAAAGTTTCATTTCATTAAGATGAAGTTAAGCAATGATAAACCCTCCCTCCCTCCCTGCCACCCCAGATTCTCCTAATCATATAGTCATCCTTTTTTTTTTTTTCCAGTTTGATGGCTCATACCTCCTTGGCCCCCTTTTTTTCACCACAAAAAAATATTTCACATTATAGAGATACACAACCATTGTGAATCTAAAGTATGAGTACAGAAAAATGTTTGGAGGCATTTTTCATCAGTGTTTCATGATAATCAAAAACGGTGCATTCACAAAGTTTCTCCCAACACATAGCAATTACTAGACATGGCCAAGACGGAGTCAGAAACTTTATACAAAATAGGCGTCGCTTTGTTTTCCTTATTCTTCAGGACCGAGAAATGCGAAAATATGAGAAAAGTTCAGTCAATAAAATGGAATTGTTCGTGAAGAAGTAGGCTGTTTGCAGGTTGATTCTTAATAGTTTAAATAAAATCTTTAAACAAAGTCTCTTGCGGCATCGCGATTGCTGCTGATTTTTCTGAAGATACTGTTTCCATCAGCATGTCTTAATATGCTAAACAACATGTCCCCTGAAGTCCGTCCTTGGGTGCTGGGTGCTGCAGAAGGTAAACAAAAGTCCCTCACATTGGCGGGACTACCAGCCCAGACATAGCTGCAAGAGAGGAGGACAGAGCGGTTACTGAGGGCAGCCGCGCGCGCTCCCTCACCGCGGCCAGGGGCCGCCCCTCCCTTCGCTCTTGTCACCATGAAGCTGGAGTGGCACGGTTCTCCTTTCCCAGCCGTGGGGGGGGTGCTGGGACATCTACTTCCTGGGGTGGGGTGCTTGTGGGGACAACAGCCCCCAGCGTGCTGTCCTACCGCGGCCCTCCTCGAAGGTCCTTTGGCAAAGGCCTGTGACATTTCTGTGCACAAAGACTGCTGCTGCTTCCAATGCACAAACCAGCATTTCCTTCAAAGCAAACGGAGGCCGCCTCTGCAGAGACACACGGCCCAGCCTGGTCACGTCTGCGAGGCCAGCCGAGGTCGGCTCTAGCTCCCTGAGTGAAAATTGGACTTGCCTCAGTTTCCCCCTCTGCTTTCAGGCCTCAGCTCATCGTTCTGCATCGTAACGGTGAGTCAGGGCCTCTCCCAGCCCACGGCCACTCGAGGCCCGCCTGCCCTGGCAGCCCAAGCCCAGGGCCGGGAGTCACAGCACCGCCTTCGAGAAAGCTCTTTTTTCCTCCTCTTGGAAGAGAAAAAACTTTGCGCTAAAATGCCAAGAGTGGCTGGCGCTTTCAAACGCACTCCTGGTACGAATGTAATTTAAAGTCTTTTAACTATAGTGTTGTTTAATTTTTGAGAATGATTGTTCTCATTAATTTATGTATAACATATTAATACATTTGTTCTTGGAGTGATGTGAGCTTCAATTTCTCAGTTCATTAATTCCAACAATATTAATTTACCTCCGACTCACCGTTACAACTTTATGGTTTGGGAGGCCGGGGCGTGGACCCACTGCTTACGGGGTGCCACCTTTCAGCGGGCCCCGACGCCGTGTCCGGGGGCGGGGCCACGGCCCCCCACGCCTGCCTCTAGAGCGATTCTGCTTTGGCGCCCGCTGATGGCTCTCGGCCAGTCGGCGGCGGCACTTGGGGGCCGGGGCGTCCCTACGTGCGCTAGCGGATGTGGTGAAGACAATTATTGCAAATCACGGATACCTTTCCAGTTCCTTTTTTGAGCATTAGTTCATCAAAGTGAAATATCCCACCGACTTCACAAAAGGGCCAGTTTGTCTTCTCCACGGCCACGTCCTCAGCACCCGGCAGAGAGCCTGGCACACAGTAGGCGCTCAGTAAATACTGGTTCAACGGATTCATTTTTTTAAAGGAGTAACTGGATTTGATTGGCACTGGGAGGAGCAAATACCAAAGGTGGTGTCTGAAAGAGGCCAGGCGATGGCCACTTAACGTGAGTGCGGCGGGCCCCCGGCACCTCAGAGAGCCACGCGCGAGGCCTAGGGCACCCGCGTGGCTTCGCCTGTCCACACTTCACGGGCCACGTGCAGCCTGCACGGCCCACAGGGGCCAGGCGCCCACTCTGAGTGGCCCCGCTGGAGGACAGCTGTGTCCAGGTGGTGCCTCCCACACCCTTCAGGGCTGGCCCTTCTCCCTCCTGAGTCTCTGCAAGAGATGGCTCAGAAAAATCCACTCCCGTGCACAGGCGCACACACGGCCCAGGGACGGCACAGCCTGGCTGGGCTCTCGGTCTGTCACACGAGGCTGAGAACAAAGGCTCAGCCTCAGGATGACGAAAGCAGGCCGATTTGGGGCACCCTGCCACCCTGGGCTCCACGAGGAGCAGGGCACCCCCGATCCCTGTTCTGAGGCTGTTTTCGCCACCTGGTGAAAAGAAGGCTGAGAGCCCAGGAGCTACGGGCAGGGCTGTGCCGTGCGCCGAGAGGTGCCAGGCCCCGGGTGAAGGCCCATGTGCTGAACCAGGCTGAAAATGACCACAGAAGCCCTCGCCATGCTCCTGTTTTCTCTCTCGTGTGGTCCCACCCCTGAGGGTGCGGGTGCTTTACTGCCAGGACTACAGTACGCTGGATGCACAAACTGAACAAAATCTGGCGTTTGCTGGGGCTCAAGGGCCAGGTGTCCTTTCTACGGCTCCTGGGCAGGGCGAGTGGCATCACGGTGGCCCGAAGGAGAGCATGCAACGCCCGAGGGGCGCGAGGCCTCCGCACACACACCCAGGGAAGGGGCTGAGCTCCCCGGGGCCCGGCCGCCCCCCAGGGCCCGGCCCCAGCCCCCGCGCCGCCCTCACCTTGCAGTCCGTTCCCGTTGGCGCTGGTGCAGGAGGGGGGAGGAGAGGCTTGGGGCCGGACCACGGGTGCGAAGGCGCTCTTCTGTTTCACTGCGGAGATGACATTGGCAGGTGAGAATGAGAAAATGCCGTGTGTGCTGCTACAGTTTGAAGGGAGAGTGACTGAAGAGGCTGCCATGGTGGGGCTGGACGGCACTACTGCAACAAAGCAAACACGGTCAGCACGCGGCACGGCACCGCGCCGCCGCGAGGGGGGGCGCGAAAACAGACACGACATGCTTCCGGCTTGGCCGCTCCCCGGACAGCAGGCAAACCCTTCCGGGGTGGCCTTTCTCTTCCAATTGGACAGCCCCGTTTTGTTCCGATTTTGGTCTCCAACGGGGCCCCGTGGGGGGCCCGTTTCGGGTCATTTTTGACGCCCAGCCTCCAGGGCCACCCTTCCTTTTACCCGGTAAAGCTCACATCGCGGAACGCCCAAGCAACGCCCACACGCGACTGTGCAGTGAACATGAATCTGCGTGATGACGTGTGACAAAAACAGACACTTACTGCCGTAGGGAGAGTTAGCGGAGGAGCCATTAAGAAATCCAGGCGAGCCAGGGACCCCTAGATTGGCCATGGCGCCACTTCCATATCCATTCATGCTAGTGCTGACTGTGTTGTAATTGGACTGCTGGGGAGTACTGCTGGGCACGTATCCTCGCGGGGACACGCTGCTTGTATTGCGACTGTAGCCGACTGTTGAAATCCCCCCCGGCCAAAAACATCGTTATTATCAGCGACAGACACCTGGGGGCGGGGGCTGTTTCCCCGAGAACCTATACATAGCACAAATGCGACAT